ACTTATGTCTTGTCTCTGACCCTAGCTTATGTTCAGTTTCTCCCTTTTCTCCCTTAGGTGGTTCTGACCATGCAATGATCTCTAAAAAATCTTTCTTCTCGTACTTCTTTTTTGGGCTCACCTTATCATCGCACCACCTACTACTATCCTAAAGCTGACTGGGATTCCTTTCGTGATTTTCTTCGTGATGGTCCTTGGGCTGATGTTTTTTCTCTCTCAGCTGACAAATGTGCCTCCTACGTAACCTCCTGGATTTAAGCTGGAATGGAAGCTTTTATTCCTTCTCGTCGGTTTCAAGTCAAGCCTCATTCTACTCCATGGTTTTCTCCTTCTTGTGCGGCTGCTATATCCAATCGTAACCATTTTTTTCATCTTTTTCAAAAGAACAACTCTCTTGAGAACAAACGGCTATTTAATATTGCAAGAAATCGATGTAAAAAGGTGCTTTCTGATGCTAAACTCCATTATTCTCAGTTCACTATATCTCGCATCTTATCGCAGAAGTTAGGCTCTAAAGACTTTTGGAAAATCTTCAACAGCATTGTTAACAAGGGTAGATCTAACATTCCATCTCTCATTCATGGGACTGATCTTGTTACCTCTCCCAGGGATAAGACAGAACTGTTTGCAAAGAACTTTTCTTCTAATTCCACTCTTGAATCTTATGGACATTCTCTTTCTTCCATTCCAGTCAAACAGGTTGACCCATTGTTAGACATTCAAATCACTCCAGCTTCTGTTGCTAAAGTCATATCTCAATTAAACTCGTCTACAGCTTGTGGCCCAGACAACATTCCTGTCACAGTCTTGCAGAATTGTTCTCCAGAACTTTCTTCAATTCTCTCTAAACTATTTAACAAGTGTTTGACTGAGTCTTGTTTTCCTGCTTGTTGGAAAATGGCATCTGTGGTTCCAATATTCAAAAACTCTGGAGAAAATTCTGACCCCTCCAATTATTGTCCGATCAGTCTTCTTTCTGTTATTAGCAAGGTCTTTGAGTCTTTAATCAACAAATTCCTCACATCTCATCTTGAGTCAAATAAACTGCTGTCAGACAATCAATACGGTTTTCGATCCTCTCGCTCTACGGCCGACTTGCTAACTGCTGTAACTGAAAGATTTTATTGTGCATTAGATGGAGGCGGTGAGGCTAGGGCTATTGCTCTCGACATATCTAAAGCTTTCGACAAAGTTTGGCATGCTGGTCTTCTCCATAAGCTTGCTTCATATGGTGTTTCTGGGAAAGTTTTTGAGATTATCAAATCATTTCTTTCTGACCGGTTTATTAAAGTCATCCTTGAAGGCCAACACACTTCTTTATTTCCAGTAACTTCTGGGGTTCCCCAAGGTTCCATCCAGGGCCCTGTTTTGTTTCTTATCTCCATAAACGATCTTCCTGACAACCTTTCATCTAAAGTAGCTCTTTTTGCTGATGACTCAACTTTATACTCCTGTCTTGACAAAAAGTTCTCTCTTTTCGATCGCCTAGAACAAGCAGCTGATCTTGAATCCGATCTCACTTCAGTAATAGATTGGGGTTCACAGTGGCTTGTGAATTTCAACTCTAAAAAAACCCAATTGCTTACTGCAAACAACTACCGTAATATGGCCAACATTCCTATATTAATGAATGGCAATCCTCTTACTGAGTCCTCCTCTTTACGTCTTCTTGGATTATTGCTTACTACTGACCTTTCATGGAAACCATATATACAATCGATTGCTAAATTAGCTTTTGCTAAGGTTGCTTCTCTTTATCGTACTCGCCATTTCCTTACTTCTGATTCCATTCTCTATCTCTACAAATCTCTTATTCGTCCCTGTATGGAATACTATTGTCATATTTGGGCTGGTTCTTCTAACGATTCACTCTCTCTTCTTGACAAGGTCCAAAAACGCATTGTAAATGTTGTTGGACCTGGACTATCTGCTAAGCTTGAACCTCTTTCCCATCGTCGTAAAGTTGCATCTCTTTCTCTTTTCTACAAATACTATCATGGTCACTGCTCAAAGGAGTTATCATCTCTAGTTCCATCAACTAAAATTCATTCTCGTTTTACTCGTCATTCAGCTAAGTCTCATTCGTTTTCTGTATCTGTCCCTGCATGCTCTAAAAACTTTTATTCATCTAGTTTTTTTCCCCGCACTTCAATCCTTTGGAACTCTCTCCCGTCTTCATGTTTTTCTGACTCATACAACCTTCAACTTTTTAAGTCTTCTGTCAACCGTTTCCTTGCTCTATAACTCTGTTCTTTTTTTTTCCTAGTAACTCCCAACTTAATAGTGGTTGCTTTTTAAGTCTTCTGTCAACCGTTTCCTTGCTCTATAACTCTGTTCTTTTTTTTTCCTAGTAACTCCCAACTTAATAGTGGTTACTTGCAGCCTTGTTGGGAGTGAATGCAAATAAAAAAAAAAAAAAAGATGGAATCTGAGACGAGATGGAGTCTGAGACGAGATGGAGTGCTCAAGCTGTTAAGATAATAAAGAATGAATATGGAAATGTGATGGATGCATTAACGAATATTTTTGACGACAATAAATATTCATTCAGAAATGAAGGAATTTGAGTTTGCACTTTAAAGAGTATTTTGGAACAAAATTTTAGATGAATGCAGTATCCACATTTGTGCAACATCCAAATATAATTTTAAATATGTACTGCTTATTATTAAAATCACTTGCTAAACTTGCTCTATTGTCGAAAGATCGTTATCATGTTATTAAAGCACAAGTTAAGTTGTTGCTACCGATGTTGATTATACGCAAAGAAGAGATCAAATTAAAAAAATTTTACAGTGATCTTGAATCAACTAAGAATGAGTTGAGCCCCAAAGAAAATTAAAAAAAAAAGAATTTACTTTTTATAATTTTGAATACTATGATTCAAATTTGAAAAAAAAAAATCAGTGGCGTATGAAGAAGCTCACATAGCTTTTGGATGTTTTTATTAATACTTTTATTAATAATGAGAATTTAAAAAAGAAGTTGTAAAGCAAAACCACGGAGATATCAATGATACTGAATTGTAATATTTCATAAAGTTTTGCAAATCCATCCTTAAAAAGTAATTATCCAGAAACTACTTTGACACATTTATTCCTATATAAGAAAAAAAAGGACATGGAATTTTTCAACCTAAAGAAAATTTTTAGAATTTTTTATTCTGGATGATTTCTAATTGCTCTAGTGAAAAAAAGTTAATTAAGAGCTGTTGGTGACTCTTGTTGATCATGTTGATCTTAAAATTTAAGATCAACAATGACACAAGACACTTTAAATAATTTTGCGAGTATTGTTGATATATTAAAAACACTCTACATAGATTCTTTAATTGATTACTTTTCAAGAAAAAAAGTGCAGAAATAAAATTGTTTAGTAAATTAGTTTTTAGTACAAGTATTCATTTTTGTTTAACCAATGAGTTTTCAAATAAAATGCAATAAAAAATAAAGTTTTTTTGAAAACCTCAATTTCTTCCATAACAAATTATACAGATGTTCATAGAAATATGTAGATGTTATTATTAGTTTTCAAAGGACTAACCATAATTCATAAATTTGACAAAAAGTTCAAGAGCCCCAAAAACTGGCTCTGCCTTGGGCACCCTAGAAGATAAATCCGGCCCTGGGTGCTTAAAGCAATCAAAAAAATGTTTTTTTTGAAAAAATAATTCCTGTCAATAATGCCCATAGCTTTTTAAATACCACGTTTTAGTAGTTTTTTAAATACCGTGTCTACCATTTTAACAATCGTACAATCACTGAGTTTACTTTTTAAAAATTCATGGTTAAATAATCTATAGTTACAATAGGCTGTTTTTTTTTTCAATATTTCAATCTGGTCTTTCATATCTATTTTCTTTAACAACTTGTTTCATCATCAGTAGATTCATCAGGAGGTTTCCTAGTGAACCTACTGATGGTCAAACAAGTTGTTAAAGAAAAAAAAAGTTAGACTAGTGTTTTTACTAATTGTTATTAATTTGAATATATATATATATATATATATATATATATATATATATATATATATATATATATATATATATATATATATATATATATATATATATATATATATATATATATATAAATTAGTGTATTTGGATGCGTGAGTATGTAAAGTTATATTAATTTCTTTTACGGTAAGTTAAATCCCTTTTAATGAAAGTAAACAAAAAATAACTCATTATAATCAGTTATAATCAAAGTAAAAAAAAAAAATGTTTCAGAAAAATAATAAGGTTTGATTAAATAATTTTGTCAACTTTAAAATTTACTCTTACCAGAGTCTCTTAAGCAGCTCTGAGGTATGAAGCACCTAATAGTGCAGGTGCTATATTCAAGTAATTTTTTTTATTAAATGCTATTCGCTGTGCTCTGTGACGAGATCATAAGGTCTTCTTGGAGTACAACAAAAAAGATAGTTTTTATCATTATTTTTCAGCGTATGCAAATTGAAACAAACACATATAAATATCGCATATCACAATTTCTCTAGCCAAGAAAGCAAGTTTGGTTTGCGCTTAGCTCGATAATTTTGTGTCACTTGAACAAAAACATGTAACTCCACATAACTTCTGAATGGATTAAAAACAAAACAAAAAAACTATATAATGAAACAACATGGAATTAAAATAGGGCTTTTTTTTTAAAGACATTTAGAAAAGCTAATTTTTAGAGGACTTAATGATTTATTTGCGGAAAAAGATTAAAATTTCCTAAATTACAAATAAAAAAATCTAAAATAAAAAATTATTCATATGAGTAAAGAAACTATTTTCATGGTATTTTTCATTTTTGTTAGAATTATTGAATTTGTTAAAACAAGAGTGCCAAAAAAATATGCAAAGAATTACAAATATGGAATCAAACAAAACAAATCTAATCTCTTTCTACAAAATCGGAGTTTACATAAAGAACGGTATTTTGTTGTAATTCCTCTTTTTATTATATACAATACAACAATTACAACCAAAAGTCGTTTTTGTTCAAAAACATCAGATCTGTGAACTTATTAGAGGTTATGAAACTTCTCAAGGAATTCATGGCTTCTAATGAGACGTTAGTGTATTTCATGAAAATTTTCTTCATGAGGCGTTCATGAGACGTTCATGAAACGTTCATGGAGTTTATTAAAAGTTTATTAAGAGCTGCTATGATCAAAAATGACATTACCTAAAGTAAATATTTTAGATATTGGTGCAAATATTATACAGAGTCAGTTACTTAAGTCTCCACCAGGACCAAAACTTTATCAAGAAAACTCGTGGCACATTCGTTATTTTTCTTTATTAAAAATAAAAGATGACTATGCGTATTCATGCTGTCGAGTACGCGTGTCTAAAGGTTTTACAAAACTAGATACTTCACAAAAGATTTTTCTTGCTTATTGGGATTCTGCGCTTTCTTTTTTCAGCAAAAAAAACCCAATCCGTAAGTTAACATTTCTTTACAACAATTTTTTTTTAATTTAAAAATTAATTTACACTTTTCATAAGACTTGCAGTTGACTGTGTGTATGTGAGTTGTTTGTATGTATGTGAGTTGTTTCTCTGTAGTAATAATCTGTTTTTTTTTTTTTGCTGTTTTGAAAAAAATCAGCCCCCTTTATGTAAAGTTTTTAAAATTACATTTACAAAAGAAATATTATTTAGTTCTGTACGCGTATGTGTGCGCGCATGTGTTTTTTTTTTGTTTTAGGATGCTCATATAAAAATAGTCAAGAATGAATCTAAATGGAAGATGGAGATATTCACACTCTCCTTACCAGATCATCAAAAGATATATATTTTAAGAAAACACCCTTTTTAAAATAAAGTTTTAATAAGTGGTACAAAAAGGAATGGACTAAAAGAATGAACTAAACATGGGTAGATCAGGTTTAGAGTTTGTTAACATTATAAATAGCAAGTTAATAAAAATAGAAGAAGTACTAAAAAGATTTTATGAAATTTTTATGAAAATTTTTTTATAAAATCAAATGAAAAATAGAAAAAGCCCCAAATAATGGAAATGTTATATATATATATATATATATATATATATATATATATATATATATATATATATATATATATATATATATATATATATATATATATATATATATATATATATATATATATATATATATATATATATTATATATATATATATATATGTATATGTATATATATATATACTCTTTTTGAAGTTTTAAAAGCTTCTAATAATCAAGGAATATTTCCAGAGCAATTAAAAGTTGCTAAAATTACTCCTTTTTTTAAAGGTGACATATTAAATATTAGCAACTATCGTCCCAAATATTTTCAAAAATTTTAGAAGGAATAATGAGCAATTGAGTTAATAAATATCTCAACAAAAATTGGTTTACAAAGCAACAAACAATTTAGTTTTAAAATAATAACTCAACAAAGCATGCAATAATGCAGTTTGTGCATAAAATCTCGAAACCTTTTGAAAAACTGCTGTAGATGTTAGACATTTTTATTGACCTATCAAAAGCTTTCACAGTTTATTTTTATATATTTAAATATTTAAAAGAGATTTAGAATTCAAAAAGATTCACAACATTTTCAAGATTTAAATTTGTTTAAAATTTCATAAAAAGTTCTTTTTTTTTAAAAAAAAAAATGAGTCTATTTATTTTTTATATTTAGTATATGTGTAATTTTTTAAAGTTTTTTTTAAATATATCAATATATTTTTTGTTAAGAACCGAGTTCCACAAGCGTTGTCCCTGACATGTATATAAGAAGTCAGATTTTTTTTAGTGGAGTGTAGTAATTACTTAATTAGTGCCTTGTTTCATATTGATGATTAAATTAGAGAGAAAATTTTTACAAAAATATTTTGGAATCATTTCATTTTGAAGTTTAGACATAAATAACAAGTTATGGTAGATATTTAGTTAGTATGCTTTTAGAGCAATAATCTCCTATTGTTTTTAATAATACTTTTAAACTGAAATCTAAAAACAAATACAATATGAGAAACATAAATATTTTAAAAGATGCCGCTTTAAGGTGGTTGTCTACTAAAAAAGTTAAAAAAAAAAAAAATTAATAAGAAAGGTTTGTTATAAGTGTATTTAAAAAACTAATTTTGTTTTGTTTTAGAAAATACTTTTTGATACTTATTTTAACTAAATTTTTCTAAAAAATTTACTTTTTTTAAAAAGATGTATAAAGCTTTTACCTTGACAACGTCTTTGAACGTCCTTAGTATTTAAGTTCTTTAGTTATTTTGACAAAAATTTATAAAAAAACCTTGAGAAAATTGCTTAATAAAGAACCAGAGCCTTTAAGTATTTAAATTGTGTAAAAAAACTTTAAAACATTGTTGGAAAAGAAAACTTGGTGTTACTCCTTGTTTAGTTTTTGTTTTTAGTGAAATTGTTTATAGTTTTTAAGCCATCGAAATGTTTTCTAATTTCTTAAACATGCCGTTGTTAGTATCAAAAAATACGCACAATAAAATAATTAAGTCTGTTTATCAAAATAATGCCGACAGTGTCATTGATACCATAAAAATAGCAGCTGAAAATAGCTGAAGAAATTCAAGAAATAAAATAGCCTGATTCAAATATTGCAGAAGTAGCTGACAGTAATATATCAATAGTATTTGTTGTCATAGTTTGTTGTCATAGTTTGTTGCCATAGTTATTTGCACAGCTCAGGAGAATCATAAGAGTTATTCAAGTTGTCTCGATGTTTTTCATGGTTTTTTTAAATGAGAAGACAAGTTTGAATCAACGAAATATATTGATTGAAAGAATAACACACCAGTTTGAGCCGCGTTACGAAGTATTTAAAAAAAAGACTGGTTCGAGTTTATAAGGAAAATAAATCAAGTAGTAGCTTTTAATTCTTGAGTAAACGAAGTACAAACAAACAATATAAACAAAGCCAATTACCATTGAAACAAATATATAACATAAATAAATTAAAATGGATTTTGATATAGTACGTAATATGTAATTTGAAGAACTGAAGTTTTATTTACGTCTTCGTAGCTTGAAAATATCTGGAAAGAAATAAATTCTTGCTGCTAGAGTCTATTGTGCAATGGAAAACAATTTTAGGCACTTTGATAAAGTTTCACAAATTTTTATATTTAAAAGTACATCATTAAATAGAATTTAAAAACTTACATCATTAAATAGAGCTTAAAAAGCTCTTTAAAATAATACCAAATTCATCATTCTCGGTGGAGGGGTTTAAAAGTTATAAATCTTATAATATATATTTTCAGGGTAAAAAATAACATTGAAATCAAGAAATTTCTCTGACCAAAATAACCATGATTTTATACAACAATTAATAATATTTGCTATACTTCGCGAACGGTCATGCCGTCGCTCCCGTTGTATAACTAACGATTGCAATGTTCGATTTAAATAAAATTTGGTTTAAATGTAGATAAATGAATAAACTAATTGATTAAATAGATTTCAAAAACGTTTTCTCATACCTTATATAATTTCAAAGTCCAAAAGAAATTAGAAGTTTTTAAAACAAAATTTAAGCACATCTTTTTTGTTAAAATTCCACTAAAATGGTACCAAAATGTCGGTCAATTTGAGTTGCCAAGTTTTTTCATTGCCAAGTTTTAACTTGATTTTTTAAGAACTAACAGTATAGTCTGTTTTTGAATAACATATAGCTTGCTTAAAACACGAATCCTAGTTGTTAGGTTTTACGGCACGTTTTCGTTTGGCGCTAAGCGAAATGTCCAAGTGCCTAACAATTTTACACCTTTTAAAACAGCTAAGGAGGTAAAACATGATATATATACTGAGCACAAAAGAAAACTTTTCATAAACGGTGTTAAACTACCTGATTCTTTAAAGCTCAGTAATGGTTTGTTATCAGAAAACGTAGGTCTAACTTTTAGACCAAAATTTTTATATATTAACAGTTATTTACTATTTAACCCTGCTGAAATTGTCAGTAAAGATTTAAGTAACTACAAAACGTGTAAAGCTTATCGTTACTTTAAATATGGTTGCCTAGAAACCCTTATTTTACCATCAAGTTGAAATAGAAAGTGAATACTGTTATTCAAAAGGGAATTGTAGGAAATCTGAAAAAGTTAATGATCCCTTTCACAAGCTATAGATTATTTTTAACAAAAAGACTGCTAAAATAATTTCTGCACATTGCACTTGTCTAGCTGTGTTATCGCAGACATGTAATCATGTTGTTGCAACCCTTTTTCGAATACAGGCTACTGTTATAAATGGTTCGACAAATGTAGCTTGTACTAAATTAAAATCAGAGTGGCTTCCAAACAGTAGCATAGTAGAACCAACAAAAATATGTGATTTAAAATTTAATCGTAATGAACTTGGTCAGCGTGAAAGAAAAAAACGTTCACAAGTATCAAGTGAAAAGCATAATTATAACCCATTAGTAAACTGTGACTAAAAAAAGCATTTAAATTTAAAGCATAAAAAAACATTTAAAAGTATATATATTTAACAGACACAGCAAAAGAAATTGAAGCTGTTGCTACTCATAGTATTATAACTTTTGTTGTAGCTAAACATTTGATTAGATGGAAGATTTAATTGAGACTGCAACTGTTACCTACAATTTTGACCATGATCACATGGCCATGGATGATATTATTATTATGTCAGAAAACAAATTTTCCTCAAGTGAACACATTAAAACAAATATGACTCAGACAATAGTTACTAATATAGAGCATATGACTATAGGTCAGAACACAAACGAGCTTTGCTTTAATTTTCGAAGGCAAGTTATAACTGCTTCAAAAGTTCACGATGTTAAAAAAAAAAAAAAAACTTTAAATTAAAGTTGACATGTGGTCAGTACACCAAAGTATTTCAGGGCTAATTTTTGAGAACCCTGATATACCTGCAAGGAAGTATGGCAGAGCAATAGAAATTGCTCTACCAGTTTTTCGAAGTTTTGAAATCTTTTCATCAAAGTTTAACTGTAAATGAATGCGGATTCTTTTTAGATGTCGAAATGCCGTATATATGTGGAAGCCTCAATAGAATTGTCCGATGTTTATGTTTCTCGCCAGTTTGTTTAGAAATAAACTATCCATTTTCTATTAACCATACAACACCAAAAGATCCTAATATATGTCTTCCTTATATTAAAAAAAAAAAAAAATGAAAAGTATGTCATATCAGGTTCAAATGGGAACTGCTAAAATAATCAATTGTTATTTTATGGTATGGACAGCTTATGGGTATATAATCGATAAAATTGCATTCAATAAAGCTGGTTGGTTGAGAATAAAAGTTGGTTTTTTTAAGTACTACAACGATCATTACTTAAAAACTATCTTTGTAGATTTTCCTATTAACTGATTGAAATAAAATTGTTAAACAAAAATCTGTATTTTATTAATATATATATATATATATATATATATATATATATATATATATATAT